CGAATATTCTGTGACATGTGAAACCTACACGGGTGTCATAGTTGATTACCTAGGAGATTAATTTTGATTATTTTAATGTATGAAATTTAGCTACGATGTGGCAATAAATGATATTGTGTGAAACTGTAGTATTCTTTGTAAGCTTTTACGTCGGTGTTAATTCTTCTCTGTGTGTAAAACGTCAGGGATACGTGTGCATCTGTTTGCTTGAACAAATGAATTAGATTATAAAAAAAAATTAACGTGCAGTCGTTGCGTGTGCCATTCCAGTAGGTACGTTATTCAGTTTGCATCATCACGCGCCATATCAGTTGTTATTTTGTCACTCACCTTTTCGAATGCACTGATTATCACGTCTTTCTATCAACAAGGTACGCTGACCTTAAATCAGTTACGAAAACCACTTATAGAAACCAACGAATATCGACTCGGTTTTAGTGTTGGTTTTGCTGGTTACTACAACTTTTACTTCAATACTACGGATTAATCGCGCAGTTTGGTTCCCTTTTGTAATATATGGGGGTTTAGAGTAAGATCGCTATGTCATTTCATCTTGTTCTATGGCTTCTCTCAGCATTTCTACTCGTTTGCGTATGGTGGTTAGCAGTTGTTACACGCCCTGTTATCCAGACTGCTTCGTGCAGCTGCGCTTAAATTAATATCCAGTGGTTCTGCTTTATCTGGTCTCAGATAACATCGTTTACACGGCACATATGTAAAAAATATATCATTCTTTGTATGTGCGTGCGATCGTGTGTGCGAGCATGTGTGTGTGCGTATGTGTACATAACCTGGCAGTAGTAACAAAGTCCAAATTAATTTGCTATTAATTTTTATGCCGAACATATCATGATGGCAAGTAAAGCTCCAGCATTTCTTGGAAAAACGACTGGCGGCACTTTTACAAAGCAATTCAAATTAATTGTCACAAAAAGTCAATCGTGTTCCTTTCAATCCTCCCTCAGTAGTCACATATAAGGAGCTGTTATGTTTGGGTCTAATTTAGCTTCTCTTGTAACAGCTTTTTGTCAGCTCAACATACCAACTAGATAGTTTTTATATAAAATATTATTGGGTATGGAAACTAAATATTGTATTTTTTACAATAAATATCTAGTGGTTCTGCTTCATCGGGTCTCAGACAAACGGACACATCGCTTAAACGACTCTTAAAAATATCCTTGCGCACGTTATTGTATTCACCGCTTAATCGGGGCATTTTCATGATCACATCAGATAGACTGCATACCGGCAGAATGCCCAATCGTTCCGATTTCTGGAAAGCATGCGGCTGCGTCGCGTAGGACGTTTGAAGTTTCGTGACACATGTCACACAACTGCTCCACGCGATATGCAAACTAGTAGATCAATATATTTTTATCCGTTTTTTGTGTAGTTCTCTTCGGTACACCAAACGCATTCTGTACGCATACTTATTCAGTCCACTGAAGAAAATGGTAATAATGTACAGTTTAGAAAATGTTCAGACTTCCGATAACTGGGTAAATAACTGTCTTGAAAGAGCGGCCACTGGCTGTCAAGAAGGAGGGTCGTCTGACCCTGCCGACGCTCTCTTGACTACGGACCTGCGTGCACGCACACGCACACGCCCACACGCCCTCACACACACTCTCTCTCTCTCACACGTAATTATAATAATAATAATAATATTAAAAATAATAATAATATATATACAGTGTAATCCCCTTATATTGCGATGGATGCATGGGGTCGATAAAATGTCACCACGAAAAAAGCGGGGTCGCACTAAATCTGGGTTATATATACGTGGCTATATAAGAGCAAAAAAGGGGTACAACCACTGATCGCATGCATTATATCCGAATTCGCGTTAAATCGGGGCGTGTAAAATTGGGGTTCCACTCTATGTGTTATTATATAATAGGTATTGCCTGTTTGTGGGGGAAATGTGGAGTTTGGTCCTAGCATGATGCTCGAATAACCAAGTGTAACTAATGCTTCATGTGCGGTGGCTCAGATAATAGGCCTAATTAATTGCAGACTGTATCATCAAGCCCCTCCTTTTCTGCATTCGTTTTTCTGGATATCTTTTTAAGGCTGATGAGAAACAATTCAACGTAATAGGAATAATCTTGAGTTCTATACGACTGGCAGCTGATGTAAATCATATGATATATAGGCGCTATATGTGTGCTCAATTCTATATTCGCTGGCGATGGGCAAAGAAGTGGGAAAATGCACGGGCTGTGCATTATGGTGACCCTAATGGTAATTAAATTCGTCACTAAAGACTGGACTAGTGATGCCCCCGGACGGCCCGTCCTTGTAGAAACCGCAGGTTTCAGTTCATATTTGCAGCGGCACGCTCCCCCTATTGGCCATTGAATACAAAACAGGGAATTACATTATGGGAATTCACTGGGAATTCGCTTAGCCTGAATTCGTGGGCAACAGTGACTGACTTGACACAGCGTTTGCTGGTAAGCATGTCATCGTAACATCGTTGGGAATTGTTGGCATCTAAAAGCGCACGAAAAACTATAATAAAACTGAAATAACCCTAATTACCTCAATGACTACGCCCACCGCATGCCACTCACGATGTTAACTCGGTGACGATGCCCTCGCAAATCCCATTGGTTGATACAAATCACGTGCCTCAAACTCCTCAATGACGCCCCAGTGTTGTCGAGGCACATCCATAACACAAAACCCCAGCCCCACTGCTGAAATGTCGTTGGATCGAATCCCATCTGTTTTTTCATTATTTTCCTGTTTTCTGTATTTTTCTATGTTTATCCATATTTACATGATTTATTTACAACAATTTAATAACAACAAATAATTTGTTTGGGTTTATAGAGTTAGGGTTAGGGTTAGGGTCACAATGCATCATAAAACAGGAGTTTGAAGACCGTGATTTGTATCAACCAATGGGATTTGGGAGCTATGCAGGCACAGCTGTATATTTCGCCATAATTATGCGTCATATGCGCACATGCGGAGTTTAACGGTTGGTAGCAAGCAGATTCGTGATATTGTTCGATACAAGCGCACGCACGCACGCACGTGTACGTGCACACACACACTCATGCACGCACGTGTACGTGTGCACGCACGCATGCACGCACGTGTACGTGCGCACGCACGCACGTCTACGTGCACATGCATGCACGCACGCACGCACGCACGTGTACCTACACACACACGAACGTACGCACGCACGCACGCACGCACGCACACATGCACACACGTGTACGTGCACACACACGGACGCACGCACGCATGCACGCAAGTGTAAGTTCACACGCACGCACGCACATGTACGTACGCACGCCCGCACGCACGCACGTGTACGTGCACACGCACGCACACACTCATGCACGCACGTGTACGTGCGCACGCACCACCGCTATACATGCACATAACGCGCGCCATCAGACCACGCACGGCACGTGTACGTGCACCCAACACGGACGCACGCGAACGCACGCGCGCTTGTACGTGCACTGGACGCAACCACACACTCATGCCGCCGGCACACCATGGATTGGGAGCTTACACGCACACCCCCAACAGCTGTACAACATA